ACTTCACCATAGCCCTCCCACCATACCACCATACCATGGATGCAGGTACTACACAAGCCTCCTTGTATCCACATGACCATTTCTTCTCATTTGGATGCAGTATCTGCTAATGAGCAAGGTCACTTGAAAGAGAACTGAACTCGGAATCAGAGTCCAAATGTGTCAGTTCCAGCTCTTTGGGGGACTAGACAAGGCAATTTAGTGCAGTGGATCAGTGTCTGCCTGCTAAAGTTAGACAGTGTGGGTGGAAATCCTGGTTTTCCACTTTCTAGCTATGTGACTATAGGCAAGACTCTTAAATCTTGTGACTCGGTTTTCTTATTTGTAAAATGACAATGATATCAATAACTACCTTAGAGGATTAAATGTCTTAAGATGGTTTAGAACAGAGTTGCAGATATTCTAAGCACTCAATCAATGTGGGCAATTATTTTTACTAGCTATATGACCCTGGGGAGCTCAACTAAGCTCCGTAAGACTCTATTTCATCTTCTGTACAAGAAGGGGTCACGATCTCACACGGTCTTTATGAAGACTGAATAAACTCAAGTAACACATACGTGGAAGCTATTTTTAAGACATAATCAATGGCTGGGGGCAGTGGCTCACACCTATAATCCCAGCTCTTTGGGAGGTCTAGGTGGGTGGATCACCTGAGGTCAGGAGTTCGAGACCAGCCTGACATGGTGAAACCCCATCTCTACTAAAAACAAACAAACAAAAAAATAGCTGGGCATGGTGGCAGGCACCTGTAATCCCAGCTACTTGGGAGGCTGAGGGAGGAGAATCACTTGAACCCAGGAGGCAGAGGTTGCTGAGATCAAGCCACTGCACTCCAGCCTGGGCAACAGAGGGAGATCCCATCTCAAAAAAAAAAAAAAAAAAAGAATAATAAATAAAAGTAAGTAAATAAATAAATAAAACATAATCAAGTATCTGATGACTCCATCAACCTAGCAGAATTAGTTCCTTTCTGTTCTTTGCTTCCATCATACTTAAAAAACATACATGCAACTGCTATAGCACTTGTCGCAAGGTACTGTAAGAATTTGCCCACAAGTCTTCTCCCCCACCGACAGCACATCCTCCGATTCACCTCTGCACCCTTCACAAATTGGACATACCTGGGACAGGACCGGTACTCAATAAATATTTGTTTAAATGAATATCGTTCAAACAATTGCACAGGAATTCTCAAGGCCTTTGCTGGGAATGATGGATTATTACTTTTGCTGAGGATCCTCAGTAGACGACCCAGAAATGTGCTTTTCTTCAGGCACAATATATTGAGATTCTGTCATTTCAGATCCCGCCGGTGTTGTATTTGTAGCATTTGTTCATTCTTTTCACTTAATAAATAATTAGCAAGCACCTACTCTGCCAGATCCTATGGTGGGCTCCATCTAGTATGCCCAAGTGGCAAATGGCCAGACTAATACAGTTCCTGCATATTACATATAGAGGGAACCTACGTACTATAGAATCATCCACCCTTTGAGATAAACTCCTCAGTTTGATTATTTCATCAGAGTGATAGGATCTCAAGGTGGGAAAGAACGGCTTTCTAGAAGTAAAAGTCCTTATACTTTACTTTTATTTTGATTTACTTATTTTAGAGACAAGGTCTCACTCTGATGCCCAAGCTGGAGTGCAGTGGCATGATCCTAGCTCACTGCAGTCTTGAACTCCTGAATTCTAGTGATTCTCCTGCCTCAGCCTCCCCAGTATCTGGGACTACAGAGGTGTACCACCACACCCACCTTGGGGTCCTTATAGAATAATAATTAAGGTTTGCGATCTGACTGCCTGGGTTCAAATCCCAGATCTGCTTTGTACCAAGGTGTAAGTTCTTGGACAAATTGCTTAATCCCTCTAAGCCTCACTTTCTCATCTGTAAAATGAGCTAGTGGGATTGATGTATTAGAAATGACAACCACGTTAATCACATATTATGGCGCTTGCCATACAGTACGCACTCACTCTGTGTTTGCTATTATAAACAAATCTATTCTCCTCATTTCCTCACCCGGGTGTTTGAACTTCTATCACAAATGTACCCAGTGAATGGGGCATGACTGCCCCGCTTCTGGGCCCCAGGGTCAGGGAATTTACTACCTCCAACGGTTGTCATTTGGCTACTAGGCAGATCTAGCAGTTGACCAGTGTTAATGGGTTGAAATATACATGCTTACATCTTCCACTCATTGGGATTACCCAGAAGAAATCAAATCTCTCCTCTGCCAGATAGACCTCAAACTTTGAAAGGTAGCTACATATGCTAGTTTTCACCACTCCCCTTACACACCTACATACAACCTTGGATCTTTTTGTTATTTCTGAATAACTCTGTGCAGCAGATTTCTTATTATCCTTTTTATTTTTCTCATATAATCCTTTGTTGATCAATGTATCTGAATGTCTGAAGCCCAGAATTCATAAAACACAATAAATGTGGTCTGATCGTTGGTGAGTACTAGAGAACTAGTTCCCCTCTGGAACATTACATTTCTATTAATACAACAAAAGATTGATTTTTAAAAAAGCTACATCCCACTGTGTTGACTCATCATCTTCTTACAATCAACAGGAGACTGTAAATCTTCCTGCCGTGTGTAGCTGTAAGCCATCTCGCCCCCACTCAGTACTTGTACAATTCAATTTGGGGATCTTTGAGTACTTTATATTGGTACCCATTAAACTCTATATGGTTTGATATGATTCATTATTATATTTTGTCAGGATTGGGGGCGGGGAGAGAATCTGATTGTATCCTCCAACCTATTTGTTATTCTTTCTAGTGTGTGTCATCTGTAAATTTTTTAAGCGTGCCGTCAGTATTATTGTCTTAGTCATCGATACAAGTGTTCAGGGAAAAACCAGACTTTCATTAGATCCCTAGAGATCCGAATGTGCATCAGCCCCTGTGTGTGTGTGAGTGTGTGTGTGTGTGTGTGTGTGTGCTGGGGGCGGGGGTGGGGTGGGGACGGAGTTTCACTCTTGTTGCCCAGACTGGAGTGCAATGGCACGATCTCGGCTCACTGCAACCTCTGCCTACTGGGTTCAAGCGATTCTCCTGCCTCAGCCTCCCGAGTAGCTGGGATTACAGGCATGTGCCACCACACCTGGCTAATTTTGTATTTTTAGTAGACACTGGGTTTCTCCATGTTGGTCAGGCTGCTCTCGAACTTCTGACCTCAGGTGATCCACCCACCTCAACCTCCCAAAGTGCTGAGATTACAGGCGTGAACCACTGTGCCTGACCCACATCAACCTCTTGAAAGAAAGAAACAAACAAAGAAAAACAAGGGCCAGGTGTGGTGGCTTATGCTTGTAACCCTAACACTTTGGGAGTCTGAGGCAGGAGGATTGCTTGAGGCCAGGAGTTCAAGACCAGCCTGAGTAACATAGCAAAACCTCATCTCTATTTTAAAAAGTATAAAAATTAAAAAGAAAAACTTAAAAAATACATTATTCATTCAATCAAAAAATATTTACTGAGTGCCTTCTGCGTACCAGTTACTACTCCAAGTGCTGAGCGTCTAGTGCTGAACAAAAAAATTGTCTGCCCTCATGATGCTTACATTCTAGAAGGAGAGGTAGACAATAAACAAAGACGCGTTATGAAAAACAAAAGCAGGCTGGGCGCGGTGGCGCATGCCTGTAATCCCAGCACTTTAGGAGCCCTAGGAGGGCGGATTAGAAGGTCAGGAGAGCGAGACCATCCTGGCTAACACAGTGAAACCCTGTCTCTACTAAAAATACAAAAAAAAAAAAAAATTAGCCGGGCGTGGTGGCAGGCACCTGTAGTCTCAGCTACTCGGGAGGCTGAGGGAGAACAATGGCGTGAACCCAGGAGGCAGAGTTTTCAGTAAGCCAAGATCACGCCACTGCACTCCAGCCTGGGTGACAGAGCAAGACTCAGTCTCAAAAAAAAAAAGAAAAAAAGAGAAAAACAAAAGCAGTTATGGAGCTAGAGAAACTTGACAGTGGGGATGGAATAGGGTTGCCAATAGGCAGTATGGCTAAAGCAGAGTTGGTTTTGGAGTATGGTTGAACTACTCATGTCCTGCATTATTCAACTGGCCATGAGTGGTGAGCAAGTCTTTCTGAGTCTCAAAATCCACTTTAATTTTTATTTTTTATTTTTTTCAGATAAGGTCTTGCTCTGTTGCCTAGGCTAGAGTACAGTGTTGTGATCAGCCTCGAACTCCTGGGCTCAAGTGATCCTCCTGCCTCAGCCTCCCAAGTATCTGGGACTACAGGCACATGCCACCTGTAGTCCTAGATAATTTTTAAATATTTGTAGAGATGGGGTCTTGCTATGTTGCCCAGGCTGATCTTGAATCTCCAGCCTCAAGCAATCCTCCTGCCTTGGCCTTCCAAAACACTGGGATTACAGGCGTGAGCTACTGTGCCCAGCTGAAAATCCACTTTTCTCTATGTAAAGTCACTTTAGGAAAAAATCAACAGAGGTTTTTTTTTTTTGAGATGGAGTCTCATACTGTTGCCTGGGCTAGCATGCAGTGGTGCAATCTCAGCTCACTGCAACTTCCGCCTCCTGGGTTCAAGCGATTCTCCTGCCTCAACCTCCTGAGTAGTGAGATTACAGGCACCTGCCACCACGCCCAGCAATTTTTTGTATTTTTAGTAAAGATGGGGTTTCACCGTGTTGGTCAGCTGGTCTCGAACTCCTGACCTCGTGATTTGCCCACCTCGGCCTCCCATAGTGCTGGGATTACAGGCATGAGCCACTGTGCCCAAAGAATTTAAATACTCATGAAACAGAGGAGAAAATGTGAAAGGATGGAACTCCTCAGAAGACTTCACAACATTTCTCGGTACACATAGCACATTCAAACAATGTGAAAACAACTAGACTAGTCAGGAGTCCAGTCACATCTTCTGATGAAGACTCCAGAGAGAATTACAAAAGCATTACTCTACAGGTACGGTCCATTGTTGACAACTAAACAGAGAAAAAATGAAACATCAACACTTACCGAATTCCAGTCCCCATGTTTTCAAGTATGGAGCAGGTTATGAATCCAATAGTTTATGGAGTCAGGAGGACGGAATGTTTGGATGATCCCAAAACATGGTTTGAGAGTCTGGATATGGAACTCTGGAAAAGACGCCCCCAAGGGACAGATGTGAAGTATACCGCTATTAATTACCCTCTGCTTGCAATTTTTTTTTTTTTCTTTTGAGACATAGTCTTGCTCTGTTTCCCAGGCTGGAATGTGGTGGCGCAATCTCGGCTCCCTGCAACCTCTGCCTCCAAAGTTCAAGGGATTCTCGTGCCTCAGCCTCCTGAGTAGCTGGGATTACAGGCGTGCACCGCCACATCTAGCTAATATTTTTGTTTTGTTTTTTTTTCAGTAGATGCGGGGTTTCACTGTGTTGGCCAGGCTGTTCTTGAACTCCTGACCTCAAGTGATCCACCCACCTTGACCTCTCAAAGTGCTGGGATTACAGGCAATAGGCCACTGTACCTAGCCCCCTCTGCTTGCAATTCTAATGTTGATGAGTTCTTCTAAATTTGTTTTATCTTTTTTTAAAAAGAGATGGGGTTATCTTTTTTTAAAAAGGGCTGGCCTCAATCTCCTGGGCTCATGGAATCCTCCTGCTTCAGCTTCCCAAGTAGCTGGGACTACAGGTGTGCACCACCATGCCCAGCAATAGTTTTAGTGTTTAAATAAATCCCTTTAATGTTTGAGGGACTGGACAAATCTTTGTTGAGTAAAATACTAATTGCTTTCTCCGATTGGAAATTTTATTTATTATTATTATTCTTTTGAGACGGGGTCTCACTCTGTTGCCTAGGCTGGAGTGCAGTGGTGTTATCATAGCTCAGTGCAGCCTCGACTTCCTGGGTTCAAGTGATCCTCCCATCTCAGCCCCCTGATTAACTGGTATTATAGGTGCACATCACACCTGGTTAATTTTTTTTATTATTATTATTTTAATTTTTTCTTTTTTTCTTTTTTTTTGAGATGGAGTCTTGCTCTGTCACCCCGGCTGAAGTACAGTGGCGCGATCTTGGCTCACTGCAACCTCCGCCTCCCAGGTTCAAGTGATTCTCTTGTCTCAGCCTCCCGAGTAGCTAGAAGTACAGGCGCATACCATCACATCCGGCTAATGTTGTTTTGTATTTTTAGTAGAGACAGGGTTTCACCATTTTGGCCAGGCTGGTTTCAAACCCCTGACCTCAGGTGATGTGCCCACCTCAACCTCCCAAAGTATTGGGATTACAGGCATGAGCCACCGTGCCCTACCTTTTTTTTGTTTTTGTAGAGAGAGACTTGTCGTGTTGCCCAGGCTGGTCTCAAACTCCTCGGCTGCAGCAACCCTGCTGCCCTGGCCTCCCAAAGTGATGGGATTACAGTTGTGATTCACCCAGCCAGAAATGTAATTGCTATTTTCACAATGATACCTTTGACATTCGCATTCATTCATTTCTTGAGCATTTGTTTTTTATACCAAATACTTTGTTGGCGTTAGGAATACAAAGATGGATAGAAAAAATAAGGGTCCCCGTAAGCACTTACAGGAACCTCACAGGAGATGGCACGGTAGAAACAGGAAAGTCAGCTGTGATAAAGAAGCGTGTTATGAAGAGATAAGTACTGAGAGCCCTAGGAGGTCACCTAACCCAGATTTAGGGAAAATTGGAAGTTAGTAACTTGTACACAGACACTTACAAGGTGTGAAGGAGTTAACCAAATAAAGAGGTGGGGAAGTCTGTTTCAGGTGGAGGGCACAAGTACGCAGATTTTGGAAAGAACGTGAATGATTATGCATGCTGAGTATGTGAGTACTAAAAGTAGTTTAGAGAGTCTTAGAGTGGTCAGATATGAGACTGGAAAGGTGAGCAGCACCAAATTACGAGACATGTACAAGCCACATTCTCGAGGAGGTAGAATCTACTGAAAGTCATGATGGATTACTTGTTGGAGTTTTGAAGACAGAAAAGTCCGGACTGGAGATCGGGTTTAAGACTTGGACAACTGGGTGGATAGTGGATATCATTCACTGAGACAGCAAAAATATGAAGAGGAAATTGAGGAGATTTTGGGGAGAAGGTGCTGAGTTCAGCCTTTGATGTGCTTGTTTTGTGATGACTGAGGAACACTCAGAGCAACAGGAAGTAGTTTGATCTAGAAATCTGAGGACACGCGTTTAGAAGTCATGCGTACGTGACAGACAAGAGACTTCACAGCGATGAATGAGATGCCCTTGGAGGGTGTGTAGGAGCAGAGAAAAAGAAAGAAGCCAGAATAACACCAAAGCTTAAATAACGGATGGTGTGGGTCCGGTGCGGTGGCTCACGCCTGTAATCCCAGCACTTTGGGAGGCCGAGGCAGGTAGATCCTGAAGTCAGGAGATGGAGACTATCCTGGCTAACACGGTGAATCCCCATCTCTACTAAAAATACAAACAGAAAAATTAGCTGGGCATGGTGGTGGGTGCCTGTGGCCCCAGCTACTGGGGAGGCTGAGGCAGAAGAATCACTTGAACCTGGGAGGCAGAGGTTGCAGTGAGCTGAGATCGTGCCACTGCCCTCCAGCCTGGGTGACAAAGCAAGACTCTGTCTTACAAAAAAAAAAAAAAAAAGGATGGTGTGTTAGTTCATTCTGTGTTGCTTAAAAGGAATGCCTGAAGCTGGGTAATTTCTAAAGAAAAGAGGTTTATTTGGCTCACAGTTCCTCAGGATGTACAAGAAGCATGGCAGTCACATCTGCTTCTGGTAAGGTCTCAGGAAGCTTTTACTCACGGCAGAAGGTGAAGGGCACCAGGTATGTCACATGACATGGCCAGAGACAGAGCAAGAGTGAGAAGAGGAGGTGTTGCTCTTTTTAAACATCAGTGTTCATGTGAACTAATAGGGCGAGAACTCACTCGTTACAGCAAGAAAGGCACCAAGCCATTCATGAGGGATCCACCCCCATGATCCAGACACCTCTCACCAGGCCCCACCTCCAACGCTGGGGATGAAATTTCAACATGAGGTTTGGAGGACACAAATATCCAAGCTATGTGAGATAAGCAGAGAAAGGACCCCTGGAAAAAAGAGTGAGAAGGTATAGCCAGAGAGGTAGGGGAAAAAGAATTATGAGGTATCCAGAGAACAAAGGAAAAGCATGTTTCAAGGAGTAGGCTGTGGTCCACAAAGGCAAATGCTATCAAGAGATCAAGCAAGAAAAAGACTAAGAAGCACCCATGGGTGAGAACCATGGAGATATCTGACCAGTTTGGCAGGGAGCAGGGTCCAGGGAGGCAGCAGTCAGGTCATAGTGAGTTGAGGAGTAAATGGAACCAATGGACACAGACACCTGTTTCAAAAAATGTGCCTTGAAAATGGAAGACATAATCCCTAAACTTTCTTTCCAAGGTTAAGGAAGGTGGGCCGCCATTAGGCCCTTACCCGCTGTGTGTCAGCTCAGCTGACCTCATGCCAATGCTCTTGAAGGACATGGCCTGTGTGTTGAACGGCAGCCCAAACACCAGTACTGGTCTTGGCCAAAACTGCAGAACAAACCAAATCAGCCTTTTGTGTCCTCCTCCTAACTCTTCTTCTGCACCTGCCCCTGTCCCTAGGCCTCTGAGGTCCACACAGACTTCCTGCTCCATGGCCCACTGTGAGGCGTGAATGTGCACCTGAACTCTGAGCAGTCCACTGGTGAGATGACCTACAGAGGGATGAATCTGTTCTGACACATTTGTCACACCGTCACTATCTCTCACTTCTTGTCATGGCCTACGTATCGGGACCAGTCAGAGGGAGAGGAGAGGAGTGTAGTCACCTTGGAGTCTGGAACAAACAGCTGGCTCTGCAGCTGGCCATGCAGCTATCCAAGCAGGGGGCCTCCCTAGGAGCAAAATCCAGAAGCCAAAATAAATGGGTCAGGTGGAAAGCGGATGACTATAACTGCAAGCAATGCTGAAGGTTGGCCCTGGGAAGTGAAGGTGAGTCAAGGCCTAATGGACGGACACCTGAAGGGGTTTGAATGAGAGGGGAGGGACAGGCGGAATCCAAGAGCAGGGGCCAGAAATGGGTTAGAGTCAATAGACCACACAGAGGCCACAAACAATGATGCTGTACAGATGGGTCCATCACCACCAGCTCTCTGTTACCCTGAATCCCAGGGTACTGTTTCAGATCTCAGACCTTCACATGAAATTTCTGATATCGACAATTCTTCAAATCTTATGTCCACAACACCCCTTCCCCTGCCATCCTATCCCTGTATTCCAAGAAGAAGATAGGAAAGCCCTGGGCCTGGTTGGGGTGCTAATGAGGTGCTCATAGGCCTTAGTGGTAACTAACCTGAAACACTGTAGGAATAGGTCCCCCATCCTAAGAACCAGGAGTGGAAGTGAAGGCCTGGCACAGTTAATTTAGGCCCTAAATCAGTAAGAAAGCTAGCAGCATGACTTGATTCGTGGAAACATTATTTCTAAGTTGTAATCATTCCAGATTACTTAGGTTTTCCAAAACGTATACAGCGACTGAACTGAAAGGCTTCACTGTCTTCAGTTTGTGATTAGAGCACAGAGAGGAGATAAAGAACGCTGGTAAACATCACATATAAATATACTATTTCTGCCCGTGCACAGACAGGCGAGGCTGCACAAACTGAGTTTTCAGCCGAAGACATTTTTTTTCATTTCACTCAAGTCAATAGTCACTTACCCACTGAATATTGCTTAAAGCAGAGTTTTCATCTAATTCTCATTTAATGAGCTTGAAAAGGCAAAACTAAATAATAATACCTCATTTGTGTGTAATGCTTGTCTTTCAAAGAAGGCATCATAACCCATTTTAGACTACCTAATTTACAGTAACAACACTTTTACAATGTAAATACTAGTAAGGGCTATTATCATTTTACAAATTATGCATGAAAGAGACCAAGGCACCTAGAAATGAAATGACTGGTTCAGTGTAACTTCCACTTCAGAGGTGTTACGGCTGGTTTATTTTTAAATTTTTTTATGAAAAATTTAAAAACCATGACTAATGAAATGATGCTTCAAATAAACATATTTATTAAGATGTACCTTGTGCTCCAATTTTAAAGGAAAAAATATTTTGCTTAAAAGAAATAACAAGGACCAAAA